TTATTCACTTTCCAATTGCAATTCATATTATGAAAAATTTATACAGTACAATGGTTTTCCTTCCATTTCCAATCATACATCACATCAACTATAACCTCACCCAAGTTAGGAAAATACGACTATACCCAATGAGCACCTTACCCCATTCGGCGGAACCATAACAAAGCAGAAGCCTCTAGTAGCTAAAATATCTCAAACGCCCTTATTTTGATAAAACTTGTGTGGTAGGGAGTTAATTTTTAACACCGAAAACGATAGGACTACTCATTTTAACCGAAACGCACGAGAAAATTTGCATGTTATGGTTCCCACTACGCGCTGACACCTCGCCACCGAATGGGATAAGGTGCTCATATGACAATGAACAATAGCAAAAACCAAAATAAAGCTTCTACCCTTCTGATTTGTTTTAATTTCTGATACACTACACGACAATGATTAAAATTTAGGAACACCATCGCCTTTATGAGGCTTATATCACGCTTTTATAAGAACAAAAGAAATCAAAATTAGAAAAACATAGGTGTTCCACTGACGTGTATGACATTGACACACTAAAAACCACATAATAATAACACCAATCTTAAGGTTCAAGAACTAACTTTGAAAAATAATGTTAGCTTTTTGAAGATCTGAAAAAAAAAACACTAAATTATATTTATATCTTACATACTTCTACTGTGAATACAAATTTCAAAACGTACTTAAGTAATCAATTGTGTTGCGTATAGCAAGTGGTAACTGAACCAATGTAAGTGGCATTTCCAAAAGACTTTTGCTATGTAAGTTGATATCTGTAAAATTATTCTTCATTAATATTAAATTATTACTGATCTCTAAACTTTAATATCTAAAATATTTACCATAATCCAAGAAGTGAATCATATCCAATCCTACATAAAGACCTCGGAAACAAAACGGATAAGCCTCTTCTGCTATATTATTCATTAATCTTGTATATTCATTCGTCGTTCTCAACAATTCATGTTGCCTCTTCGATAAAACAAAAAATAAACTTTTCAATCCAATTCTTACATACACTTTTGTACACTGACCATAAAACATAGCTATCGTTTCCATAAAAATTACTTTTAATGGAATAAAAAGAGGCAAATCATTTCTATGAACGTATTTAAAATTTATAAGATCCATTTTAAATAACTGTCTGATTAAATTTTTCAAACGATAAAATTTCAAAGATTGGAAGAGAGGTGCAGAAGAAGTGAAAAAGAATAAAAGCTGATTGTTAGGGTGGAAGTCCCAAAAGAGTATAAGCTAGCATTATAAAGACTTTCAAAACAAATAAACTGTCATGGCGCCATCCATATACTAAGCAGATTAGGTTATGAGAGTTCAAGGTGTTTTTAATGAATCACAACAAAACATAAAAATGATATTTAAATAAACAATTTATTATTCTTTTCTTTTTCAAAAGAGTACACCATGCAAACAAAAAAATGACTTTTCAGATAGGCAAAAAACCACATAATAATAACACCAATCTTAAGGTTCGAGAACAATTGATGACTTTGCAAGACCTAAAAAAAAATTGAAACATAATTACCATTATCAGTGTATAAAAAAAAGTAACTTTTTGTATAATTACAACAATTACCTTCAAAATCAATTTCTGATCGAACGACTGCTGGAATCTGGCTCATTCTCACTCTTTCTTCGTTACGAGCAGTAACAATTAACTCAAGATCTACAAATAAAAGTTACATGTTACATTTCATAACAAAGCTACTATAACTTTATTATTTATAACAGAAACTACTAACCAAAAGGAATAAACACCATTCCAAAACCACTGCGTTTCTTAACACAGAAACAATAGGGATTTTGATTACTATTAATGAGAGTTGTCAACTTTGCAGCGCCATCATTCTCAACCATTTTTTTGTAATCTTCTTTATTGAGATAGAAGAAAATCCTGCTCTTCCCCAATATACCTTCCACTTTGATACTTAAACCAACAACAGTAGTTGCAGGTTCAATGGACATCATTTTAATGGGAACAAATAATGGCAATTCAGTGTTCTTCATGTACACAGGCTTCTCACTTGGAGCGTTTAAAGAATCAAAAAAATCCATCTGTACATAAAAATAAAAAAAGTTCCTTTAACACTACAACAGAATACATATTAAAACACACTAAATACCGATAATAAAACTCACCATAAACACTAAATTTCAAATCAATATTAAAAATATATCTGACTGAAAATCACAAACACAAATTCGACAGCAAACAATGCCTTAGTAACCACAAGATGCGCCTACCACGACAGTTTCGAACGACCCCGCGCAACCAAAGGGAATACATCTATTACCAACATATAAATAAAATATTCTTTTCCATAACGAAATATGTTCATGATCCATCTAATAATTTCATCTCAAAATACACATCTCGTCATTTATCAATTCTAACATCTATTACAGTTTAACATAATTAAACTTTCGAAGTTAAAATTACAATCCAGGGGGCCGATTAACGCGTTAGCGTTAGAATTTTTTAAGATGATCTTTGACCGGGGATTACGAACTTCCCAACTTCAATAATGAACTTTGATGAAGCTCGAATGCGATAGGGTTAGAAGCCCAAAGTTTCCGGAAAATTCCAGGAAAATTCCGGAAAAACAGAAAAATTCCGATCAAAATTGAAAATTTTCGTTGTTTTTCGGAAATTTTTTGAAATTTCGAACCCTATTGTGCAGTTCATGAAGTTTTGAAAAAAAGAATGCACATATATACTCACTTCTCTGAACGAGCTTCCTGCACAGGGTGGCGTTGGCGCCCGACAGGTGGTCCAGGGCCTGACGCTCGTTGCAGTCGATCTGACCCAGGGTGTAGGGGTCAAACGGGTCTCCGCACCGGGGGTCGTACTCGGAGTTGCAGTCGTAGCAGATGATGGCGTCAACTGCAGAAGAGGCACAAAAGTAAAAATAAGCAAACAATTTATTGAAACGGAACATCTTCATGGAAAAAGGTACCAGTATAATAACACTTTATAGATTACTCCAGGTATTCCTCTTTGACCAAAAATTAATTCTAAGGAATCGGAGATCTGGTAATTTGTTCAACACAGCCAATTGCTGTTATATAATGGAGAAAACATTGTTACACTAAACAACGTTTTACGTGTCCCTTCACACAACTAGTTGTAATTTTACAAAAGTCATGGGGGGGGGCCTCACACCCCAACGAGGTTCCGTGATGAAGTGCCGGCCGGCTGCATCATAGCCGGCTGCACAAGCGGCTGCACAGGCGGCTGCACAGGCGGCTGCACAGGCGGCTGCA